CGGTATTCTGTCTTGATTCAATGTTCCCGTTACACGTACATCGTCCGGGATATTTCCACGTTTTCACGTGAGCTACGGTAACATTCGTACACATCACGTGCCGGCGATATAATAACAAGGTGGATAACATAACGAGGCTTACATGCCTCGAATTTGATCGGTCCTACTCGCTGCGTTTTGTCCTGTTTTCTCTCCATAATTCTCCCACTGGCCTCTCCTTTTTATCATCGATAATCCGTCTTCCGAAGGATACCCTGCGGGAATACCTCGCTGCAAATACATACGCAGAAAGAGAGTTACACTATTTCGCGCGTTTCACGTAATATTTAGCGTGATATATAAATAGCTTCAACGGTCGAAATAAAAATTTCAAGACAAATCATATTTCTAATAAATATTGATTTATTTTCAACATATTTTAATATATATTTTAATATGAAGTTACGCAATATGCAGTTTTACAATCACGATTCTAATAAATTACGTGAATTTCTTTTCGTACTATTTCTTTCTTACCTTCAAAATAATTTGTTCTTCAGCTAAACATAAAACGAATTATTATAGCAAAGATTTCTTTATGAAACAGTTTTTTAGGGATAACGCGCATTAAAAAGAAAAACTACAACTTTTTTCCGTTTCACAAATACGGTGCCTCCTCCGCGCAATAGGCATATCTCTCTCGCTTAATTTTTTATATCGCGAAGGGGATATAAAGAAGAGCTTGTAAATCTTCCAATGAATTTTGGTCTCCTCGTGATTCGCATTTCATCGCTTTTAATCCGTTCTAGAGCATACGGGCTTAAGATCGCAGTTGATCGCGTGGCGAATCGATCTTTTACGAGAACAGATTCGCCACCGAACGGGCACGAGCTCTCCGCGTGTGTGTACACGGAGGTTACATGCATATTACGAGGAACATATGTGCCGACGACCCCCAAGGATATATAACGCGGTCGCATCGACTGCATAGGATATACGTAGATATAAATTGTGCAGACCACCTGCTCTATAGCGAGCGTTTTCTGGCAGTATAATCGTGTTGCGCGATGACGTTTCAACGATTTGCTCCGATTTAACGATGCATTCGATCGATACAGCAGGCCTTTTAAAAAGATTATTGCAGGGATTAATTATTTTATTCGACAAAGTGAAAAGATTTTTAAATAATTGACGATCTCAAGATTACGTATGTAAAGAAAAAAAAAGAATTTAAACATTTCAAAATTTATTACACATTTAACAATATTTGTAAATGTTAATTTTTGACAATAATCATGTTAAATCGATTATGTGGCATGCGGAGTTATTGCTAGATATTAAGCTCTCACGGATAAAGGGAAAGA